TTTGTCACCAAATCACTTTGTAGAGCATTGAAGGGTGACTTTAAACACGTCTTCTTTCTGCCAAGCGCATCCGGAAGCCGAGTTATAAGTGTTTTTGCAAATGGTCAGGTGATAATTATCAAAACATTTCATCCAACGAATGCCTTCTATTCAATACCCTCAGACTCAGCAGTTGAGTTAGTTGAGAGCAAAAAGGATTGTAACCGATGTTTTTGCATAGATTCTGCGTCATTTTTTGCTCCAAAAAACATTCAAAGCTTGACGTCGAGAAGAGCTTGGCAGATAACGAAAGCATTTTTGAATCAACCTTCAATGCTCTTTAAACAGGCATGAGATTCAGCTGGAAAGGCCACTTTGAGTAAACACGCCTCCTTTGTTAGTTATTGGCGGATCGCCCTCCAAATTTGAGGCATTCGACTTGTGCTACTTCTCAGAGGCTCCTTATCTTGTTTTGTCTAAGAATTTGAACTGTTTCTTTACTGATTTTTATACGTTAACTTCTAGCTACATGCTGCCCATAATTCCCTTTTGATATGTTGTTTCAGATTTTGTACGGCTTCATATTGGCCCGTAGTAAAGCTCGGTCATGGGAGATGATCTCCCCTGAGACCCTCATATGAGGGTTTGTCGGGCGAGATGAGAACTGCCCACCTTTCCTTGGTATAAGTATGCAAGGTCACCCTACAGGCGAGCTTCAGATGAAGCCCGGCAGGGAGATCAGCTCCCTGCCGGGCCATCGAAGATGAGCCGGGCGACGAGATAAGGTAAATACTGTGTTAAAGAGGAGAGCACAGAGAAAACCTCCGTGAGTTGCTCCCGAGTAACTTACGAAACATCGCAGCTGACGTTTTTTTGCGGTGCAAAACTCCCAAAACTGCACAGTTTCGGGCGCCTAAGTGAGTGAAGATCGATGAACAGCTGATTGCGCGACGAAATCGGAAAAAAGGTTTTTTGCTTTTTTTCTTGCAGTTTTTGCTTGTTTTTCTTGAAAAACCCGCTTTAGATAACAAGAGGGTGAATTTACTTTTCTACTCATTCTTAACCAAGTGTAATTTTTCCTGGTATGAATTCCAAAATACTTTATATTTGTTTTATCCCTTTATTCGCTAAGTGAAATCTCTGATAGCGGATATCATCGATTTTTTCGACAGCGGCCGCTATCAAAGTCTCCCGGCTAAGTAGCAAAAATCGTGCTGGTAGCCGCACTCGAACCATGCCTATGCCGCTTGAAACGCATTAGTCTATCCATTCGACTAGTAACGCACAAAAGGCAGAAACGTTCCACCGTTGAAGAGACGCAATCGTCCACTAAGTGATCTGCTCGAAATCAATCGCTCCCCTGGCAGTGTGCTGAGGCGCCAAGAGATCACCTCCGGTCCGCCTCAAGAGAGATTTCCTGATGGGGGTTTACTACGGACCATTGTGTCCTATCCCACACCACATGAGTGATGTTTTCTTTCATCCTTCTGAAGTTCACACTATTTTGAAAACTCTCAGACTCTCCATAAATGAAACCTCGATGAGATACCGCAGATCATCTATAGAAAATGTGCATCTGCTCTGGCTGCACCGCTTGCTCATATTCTTATATATACAGCTGGATGTCTGTTTGTCTGTATGTATGTATGTCTGTGCGTATGTGCGGAATAGAAATTTTTGTTTTTGGACCGATTTGGACCAAACTTGGCACACATACAATTCGGGGCGGGGAGCGTGTCATAGGCTACTTTTCATCATCGATCGATATCGATTTTATCGATTTTTATCGATTTTTTGTGTAGTTTGAGCTACGGGGCTGGGAGTTGGCACAGGGGGTAATCGAGCATGCTGATTCCGAAAACAATATTAGCTTTATTTAGTTTTCAGAATTATCGATTATTTTCATCGATTTTATCGATTTTTTGCAAAGTTTGAGCTACAGGGCTGGGATTTGGCACAGGGGGTAACCGGCCCATATAATCTTTTCCATTACTTTCACTGGCGTAGGCAATAAACTGATGGGAAGAAAACTGATAGGACGATAGCTGCTTATCTGGTTTGTACCGGAAACTTTTGGAATAACCGTCAGAATGGCTTCTTTCCAACACTGAGGCACACTTAGAAGCATCGATATATTGAATACTAGCTTGCTTACCCGGCTCCGCTCGGCCCTGTCAAAACACTGTAATAAAGGTCCCATCCCTATCCTTGTACAGCCTTTCTCTGTGCCCACTCCTACACTTCATTTCCCGTTCCCTGTGTTGTTTTCGAAATCAGCATGCCCACTTACCCCCCTGTGCCAACTCCAGCCCTGTAGCTCAAACTTTGCAAAAAACCAATAAAATCAAAAAAAGTAATCGATAATTCTGGAAACGCCGTGATAGCCAGACTGCTATCATGGCTCAATAGGTTTCATGTTATTTCTATAGAACAGCATGGTTTTATTTCCGGGCGTCTACCACTACTAATTTAACTGATAGTTTATTTAATTGGGCGTTGGCATTGAACAAAGGAAAGTTTGTTGATGTTATTTATGTTGACCTATCAAAGCGTTTGATAAAGCCACGGAAAACTTGTAGGTAAACTAAAGTATTTGGGTATAGGTGGCAAATTATTGAATCGCCTCGTACCGCCGGATCGCCTCGTACCTAACTGACAGACATCTGACAGTTAGATTTGGTCATCGCCACAAAGGCATATATGCACCATGGAGTACCTCAGGGGGGTGTCCTCTCCCCACTTTTGTTTCTGCTTTATACAATTGATTGCCAAGTGCTATCATCACGTCCATACACATTGAGGTCAAATTGTACGCTGATGATATAATGATCTATTTTATGGGGATGAGAACTCTCAGGAGGTAAGATCCGCTCTGCAAGCATCGTTATGTAGACTTGCAGATTGGGCCTCTGCTTGGTGCTTACCGATCAGCCTTGAAAGATCCTCTTCTATGCACCTAGGGGAACGGCCATAGGTTGTCGGTGTTGTCGGTGTTGTCGGTGTTGTCGGGGTTGTCGGTGTTGTCGGTTGCCGAGATTGCCGGTCGTTGTAGGACCTCATGATAGACTCCACGTTTCGCGCGCTCTCTAAACCGTCTCTGACCCCGACAACACCGACAATACCGACAACATCGACAACACCGACAACACCGACAACACCGACAACACCGACAACATCGACAACACCGACAACACCGACAACCTATGGCCGTTCCCTAGGAGGTGGCCAAAAGCAGACGTTCAAGTTGAATGGTGTGGACTTGAGACAGAGTAGTTTCATCAATGATTTGGGTGTGCGTTTCAATAAGTCTCTGATTTCACTGAGCATATAAATGAGACTGTTACCGAGGCATTTAGCTCGGTCTTCCGGATACTTCGAAAGGTTTACCGGATAATCTAACGATTATGTTACGACTTTTATAAATCTTTTGTTTTACCTAAACTTGAATACTGCTCATAACTCTGGAGTCCGAGTAAAGCTAAACATATTAAAAAGCTTGAAAGAGTTCAGAGAGTTTTTAATAGAATGGTGATGAGGAGATATATCCCCGATTGTACCGCTCTGTTATCATGACCGCTTGAAAAAGCTGGGACTTGAATCTCTTGTTTGCAGAAGAGCTAAATCTGACCTTTTGTTTTGCTTCAGAGTTCTGAAAAGTGAAGTCAACTTGAATACAGCGATTACTGGATCTTTATGCTTGCTTACGATAGACACTGTGGCTTCAGCTTGCATCACCCAAAAGTTGAGAGGAAACATGCCAACCTGTTATTCAACCATATTTTTTGTCGGGAAGCTAGATGGTTACGGTGCTTACTTCGCGAAGTTTTGAGTGCTGACAACTGTGAAGCTTTCAAAAGGAAACTGAGAAAAATTGATATTTGTCAATTACTGAACAATCCTTTGTGGCTCTTCCTGGTCTGTTTTCATTACAGGTCTGCTTGTTTGTCTATTTCTTGCTGGCCCTCGCTTGTCGACTCATGTGTTTCGGACTTTGCTTTCCCCACATCGCTTTTACGACAGCCGCTTTCATTGTGTTCGTGTTTCTCGATTTATCGTGTTTACTGACCATGCTTTGCTGGCTTGTCACCCACTTTCGATGAGCAACAGCATTGCGCCTTGGGACGTAGACAGCTGCGTTTCATACATGGCTTTCCCAGAATAAGGCAGGTGCATCCAAGCGTCGGTGGTGTCATGTTGGTGGATACCTGGCAGGAACCGATCGCAGACGTTTTGGACAGCCCGGAAAAGTGGCATTGGCATTCCCCAATGCCAATCACCTGACCTCACTTGACCAAATAGAAATTTTCTTTTTTAACACATGAGGCCCTTATTCGCTGTTTGTTTGTTCTGCTAAAAGGTGACAGCTAGTCTCTTACTTTAGCAGTGTTTCTTTACTCACACAGTCTTTGGCACACGTTTACGTATATGAGATAAAGATAAAGATAAAGATATTTGCCAAAAAACCGTGAGACCTCGATTGTCAAGAGTTCTCGAAAAATGTTTGATTTGTTTTTACTACATTATAAAAAATCAAACGCTTTGCGCAGGCTTGCAGCTTTCACAGTGCTACATTAATAAGAAAAAAGTTAATGGGAAAAGTTGCAAAACTTGTGTGCCAACCCAATGCAAAGCGGTAATTTTTTGCTATGAATGGAGTTGAAGAGATAGATTTCAACTTTGGACAATCGCTGCGGATACTTTAAGAGAGATGGCGGGAAAGTAAGCCGCCACGTGCCCAATACGACAAAAAGCTGTTTCTCAAAAAAGTGGAAACTTCAAAACTGCGTTACCGCTTCACCGCATAGGAATTACCTTAAACTGAAAATAAACGCGATACGGTGCGCCACAAGAAGATCGCTGTGAGCTTAACTCATTGTCAGTACAAGAAACTTCTTAAGTAGATTGGTCACAACTTTCGAAAAGTGTTTTATAGCACATCTGAAGTATAAGAATGTAATGGAAGGATAACATATGTCATACTTCAACTTGTACTACTCGAAAAGGCGAGTAGTTAATGTTGTGACATAGTGTTAGATAGTACAAACCAATCATAGCATGCAACAAGTAGATGCAGTTGTGTCCTAGGACTCAAGATGACAGCAGACGATGAGAACGAGGAAGCGCACCTATATATAAAAAGATTGAAGTTGCCCGCTAGGGTGTCTGTTCCATGTAGGAAATAGTCAACAATATGGAGCACTACATTCTGTAGAATGTTCCACGTTTGAATTTTGTGGCGATGCCAACCGCCGGTGTTAGCTCAAGAGGGACCAGTCTTCTTCGTAGGATGAAAGCCATAACTGCAGCGAATAGAATGATAAACAGATGATACACCATAATGTACTTATAACCGGAATCCGCAAACAGAGTCCTAAAAGTTCTAAATAGTAAACAGCTGTTATTCTTTTAAAACTTACGTAGAAAACAGAGGGACCACAAATTGTGCCATGCTACCAGTAAAAGCAAAGAATCCTTGTATGGTACCCTGTTATGAAGTATGGAGAATATCCAGTAGAGAATATCAAACTGAGTAACCACCTGTTTCCTGGGTCCAACAATTTCTGACAAAAGAGTGTTGGCGGGAGCAGAAATGAAAGGAAAAGACACTCCTTGTACTATTCCAAAGTTGAACAGGTACAACCAAATTGGAACTCTGTAAAACACACCAATGCTACAACTAAATTATCTGACCAAACTGCAGACCTGGGTGTGTGTTCACACCAGTCATATTCGTAGGAGCAACCGCCTGCATCACTGGCAACAGTACCATTGACTGAAGAAATAGAGATAAAGTCTTATTGAATTTTTGAATTCAGGTTACTAGTGCAAGAAAGGAACATGCTGTTGCGAACACCACTATGCTCATCCACCAAAATGATGGTATTGGCGAAGTAAATTATGCCACATTGCAAAACTACATTTTGCATAGCGAGAACAAAAGGATGTCGGTGGTAATTGATAAACATCATTTGCTCTGAAAACTGAGGCTTTCCTACTTGAGGTCTCCTTGTGGCAAGAATCCGCGTTCAAGGCACCGTCCAGGCAGATCTGGACCTATGAAGCTTTTACGTGGAAAGTACTTTTGGGGCCCTAACTAAGGCACTGCCCAAGCGGCAGCTCAGGTAGTGCTCTAATGGCTGAGATATTTTCCTCGAAACTGGCCCCCGCGAACGTATTCGCATGGATTCATGGCAGTTTCGCGCCAGGATCCACGCTTTGCGCCATGAATCTATGCGAAACACGGTGGCGGGGTCCAGTTTCGAGGGGAATATCTCAGCCATTACAGCACTACCTGAGCTGCCGCTCGGGCAGTGCCTTAGTTAGGGCCCCAAAAGTACTTTCCACGTAAAAGCCCCATAGGTCCAGATCTGCCTGGACGCTGCCTTTAAAGGCACCGTCCACTCAGATTCTCGACATCCAGTTCGTTTCAGGGCCTTCTCACGCCCCTATTTCGATTATGAAGTTGAGAATCCGCAAAAACCCCAAAAATTTCCGTTCAGAAAACCCACAGGCCGGTTCTTCGGAACAGTGATCAAATGGGCGCGCACGCATGGGCGGGCATGGATGGGGAGGGCGGTGCCGTCTGGTGGTCCTCGTGCATCTTGTTATTCCGGAGCGATCTTCTCTCTTCCGAAGCGACATTTTGCGCCGCGACTTGGGCATTGGCTTGATAGGGAGCCCTACTATCATATGCTGCCAAAAGCTCAAGACCCTCAATTTAGGGTGGAGCTGCTTTTAACATCGAATTCATCACTATCGTACTATCTGATCGGTTGCACCGATGGGTACGCCCGCGGAAAGGAACCTACCGCTGAACAGCGCCACTGTAGTCGCACATCTTGCTACTATAATACAGGGCGCACCAACTGGAGAACTATTTTTTTAGTTTACAAACAAGCATCTGGAGAAACAGCTGCATGCTTTAGGATAAAAATAAATTTTTCAGCTAATGAGCGTAGTCCCGCGCACAAGATCCAGCAAGGCAGCAAGAGCATGAAGGAGTTTGTTGCGCGTCTACGCCAGACTTCAGTAAAAAGTTGAGCTTTCGGAACTACAGCATTCTAGCAAGCTGTACCTGAAGCACGCATAGGAGAAGAATTTTTTCCGAACGGGGTGTCGCGCAACTCACAGAACCGTCATTGAACTCTGTCATTAGGAAGCATCTTGCCGTTAGTCGGTTTGTAGGCGATGGAGAGCCCTGACACTGTAAAACTCGGAAAGAAATTTATTATACAAGTGGGCTGACCCTTTGCCCATACAAAACTGCGCAGATAAGGCAATGTCTCCTACTTCATATAGTGCAGGCAATTTAGGAACTTCGAAATTAACCAACTCGTACTCTGAAGTTCTGTAGCTAACGCAGTGCTCATCTCACTAAACGTGGAATCTTGTCTTCACCTTTAGGTAACCATAGAACGGATTGCACTACGGAAAATTCAATAAAATGCGAGCTTTCACACACAAAAAGAGACCCCGGTTAAGTTTGAAAGTCTTCGGATATCTCCAAAATCCTGTGAGAAGTTAAGAATAAGTGTTTGTCTATTTGTCATCACCAACCTCCCGTCTCGCATGTCATGTGCAACTACCCACTATCGGGCCAGGGAACTCTAGGGATGAGGCTTCGCTCGCGCGGCGCAGGCAGCGAATCTGACGGGCGCAAAAGCGTTTGGTGATCAGATCTGCGACTAGGCGACTCATGCTTCATATCAATTGTTTTGTTCATCTTTACGAAGACTTCCCTTTACGTAACTCGCAAACCTTCACTTTTGTTTTTGAATGCAAAGTAGATTCTGTTTTACATATTTCGGACAGTATAATCAGCAGCGGCACCCCTTACTTTGCTTCCTCACTTGCTAACAGATCAATCATTAGAGGTGAGCTGCAAGTGAAAGCTGACCCTGTCGCATCGTCTACGGGCTTGGAGGCTCAAGAACGCATTGCTCACAGTACGCGACTCTCGTACCCCTTCCCTCCATGTCCAAGAGTAACTTACCTACGACATGAAGTAAAAGTACTAATGATTGAATCACAAGTGTGCGAAGCTTTCCCGACTCCTTAGAGGGTAGAAGGTAAACACTGGATGAACTTTGATCACGAATCTGAGTATAGGCCAGCTTCCGCGCTCAAGTTCCATTTCCTATAACGCGCGCGGCCTCATTTCGTAGATTTCTTTTCCCTCTTTCGCGATCGTGCTCTTAAGTGATTAAAGCTCTTCCTTTCCAACGGTCGTGGTGGGAAAATTCCGAGAGAGGCTCATAAACCAGGTGCAGAGCCCAAGCAGCTCCCACCAGCGGACATCCCTATGCATCAAGGGGTAAACAAAGAGGAGCAATAGCAGGTAGCAAAGATAACCGAATGACCCCCTGCAAGTCTCTGTAAATGTTCACCGCATTCATTAGCCCTTTCGAATATATGAAGTGAAGCGAAGTCATATGGCCCGTTTTGCTTGAGACCGAATGATTTATCCTTTTTTGCACTTACCCATCTTCGGTCGTGAAAGTGGTCCTTCGTAGAATGGCATGGGATAATGGCAGAGATGTGTAAAGAAGAATCCCGATAAACCCATTGCCAGAACGAGACGACGGTCCCTGAATTGAAAGATGCTGTTCAAATTTACTAAAGGAGACTTACAAACCAGGTTCCAATTCTCGTGGAGGCTATCAACGCATACGTTGCTGTCGAAGTTCCACAAGCAATGACTTGCAGGATTCCGTTGTACAAAATCGCTTCTTTATAGGTCCAGTTATACATGGCAATGGTTATGGGGGACGCAAGTCTAAAGAAATCGTTCCTTTCTAAGAATCTATAATTATAAAGATTGTACCCTTCCGTGCTTGCAACACCACACAGCATCCACCAAACATAGAATAGATAGATTACAGCAAGTCTATCAAACTTCGGTATCACAAGGAAAGGATCTTCTGAAAATAACAATTTGAAGTTCAAAGGGTAACTTATGCTGTAAGTTTGGGAGGTACCCTCTGTTCCACTGGAGCTGGCGGCGGGAGGGCGGGGCTTCGATCAATTAGAGAGCGTGTAAGCGTGGGAGAGAAGCCCCGCCCTTCAGCCGCCAACTCCAGTGAAACAGACGTAAACACATCGTCCAAAAACATTTTATTGCCAAACTATGCTCTATAACTTTGCATACTGCTCACATTTGAACAAAAGCTGCTCAAACTTGTAGCCTAAGCAATTCGAAAAACAAAGGTAACTATATTTCTGCGAAAATTTCAACTACTAGAGATTCTCTGGGCCGTCAAGTACTAAAATTGATTCCTTTCTCGCATTAGCATTCGTGAAAACTTACGTTTCTTTTCTTCGTCGCTTATGATTCCTGCGTAGTCCTCTACAAAATATATCTGAACCAGAAAAACGGAAAGAATACTGACGATGAACCTGGAATCATTCAATCAATCAAAAAAGCAAATTTCTTTTAGCCCCAAAGATGGAACTGACATGAAGTAAGCTGCTGATGTGTACATATTAAAGATAAGTGGTCCAATACTGAATCCTGTGCTGCCCAGTGGGATAAAGCAAATCTGTAGCATTATTCAGATTATGACTGCAAATATTTTTAGATTTTTTCGAAGAGTACCTGAAATGCGGGGCCGACAGATAGTCCAGTCGTGAATCCGGCAGTGCCTAAGGATACTGCACGAACTCGATTTTTTCGTGTACTCGCTGTAGCAACGAAACTTCTCAAGACTCCAAGAGTTCCTGAAAATACAAAAGACATTTTCGTCATTATATCGAGAAGATGCGTTTTCTGCGCATGATGATAATCTGCCAAACTTTTTTTTTAGATCGCGTTGATGGCATTGATGAAAAAATTGCATTTAAAGCTGTTATTCTCAGAGGTAAACGAAAGAAAAACGATAAATTCAACACAAAGCATCATAGAAACAAATCCACCCTACTTACCTGCACCAAAGCCCGTACCAAAACGTGAAATCAGCATTGCCCATTTTATATATGATGGTAGAATGGGAAGCAAGGCATAAATAAGATTTCCTGCAATCGAATGTGCACACAATAGAGTCGCTTTAGAACTGCTTCCTACCTATAGCGCTCACGCTAAATCCAAAACAAACGGGGGTTTTCGTAGATCCTGTTAACTGACTCCAATGCCCGAAAAGAGGATTTGCCTGTAATATGAGGTCCAAATAAAAATGGGTCTTTTTGCCATTGGCATAACCTACTATTGCGCAGCCCAAACTGCCAGCTGCGACAATCCACCCGAAAAAGTCCATGCTAGCTGTGTGATCCACCTAGATTTTTGTTGATTTTTGTTGACAAACACATCCAAATAATCAGCTCTGACCTCACTAAGGTACTGCCATGTAGACATGAAATATATGCTCATCTGGATCCCAGTCAAACAATGTACGAATGCACAAGCGTAGATTGCCGGCCATGGGGTTTCTCTCGAGTCTAGCTGGCTAAAATCAACTAACTCGAACACACGCTTGTCTCAACATGTGATTTTCATCGTGTAAATGTACTATAATACTTCGACAACTTTTTTCCTTTGAAGAATGTCTGCTTGGCAATTTATGGAAGGCTTTTTAAGTATATGAAACACCAAGCTCTTCTTTTCTTGTTGATTCTTACATATATATGAAGCAATGAAGTAGGTTGAATATTCGTAGAAGTGCGATATATTTAGGAACAATTATTCTAAAAAAAAAAGACTGGCATTTGTGGCTGAAGACACCTTTCAAAAAGTTAGAAATTTTTCTAACTAGTGTGCAAAATAGGGGTGCCCTGGATCGAATTCTCTGATATGGATATTCAGTGTAGAAGCGAGGGGGGGGGGGGAATAGGGCTTGCTGGACATCGAGAGCATTTTCTACTAACAATAATACATACTTTCTACTTTGCTTCAAGGCTACTAGGCTGTCTTTTTCAGTGGACCCGTTGTTGTTTCGAACCATACAAAAGAAGAAACCCAGGAGAATTCTTGATTTGACAAAAGACAAGGTTTTCGACTGCGTCTATCTCAATCTATCATAAAAACAAAAAAGTAAATTTGCAAGGTTTGGGTGGCTGGCTCAGCACATTAGTGCGCAATGTTTTAAAAAGCTTATATTTCTTCAGAAATCATTAATTCTTACCTCTGTGAATTTTTCGACTGCATGACAAAAGTTTACGGAGAGCACGGCATCACCACCTTGTTTACTCACTACAAGTAGATTTTGCGCATAAATTACGCAGATTACGAAAGATCGGCGGCACTTTACATACATGACAAAACTGCAGTAATTGGTTCTGTGAGTCCGAAACGTGCTAAATAGGCTCTTTGACAGCTTGCAAATTTGGCACCTGAAGCAGTAGCAAAGGAAGTTCAATGAGAGGCACAGTTTTCTATGGAAAAATTACCAAGTTAGAAAATTTCCATCTACTCTTGTTGATGCCCGGCTGCAGACAAAACGCCAAAAACTGGATTTTAATTCCAAAATCATGTGGACAGAACTGCGTGAACATAGGGGTTGCTGCAAGCCATTCGAAAACCATTAGAGAGCTTGCTCAAATTTTTGCAAAAGTTAACGATGCACAAAGGCCCCAAGACCAGCAGTGCTGTAGTACTAAATTAACACAAAGAAGGAGGAGAAAAATACTAAATTCTTCTTAAAAACATGGTAGTATTGGAAGAAGCTTTAGTAGATTGAAATAATGTATACAAAACTCTATAAGCACTTTAGCCTAGTTCAATGTAACATTTCATACTTGGAAATAAATTAATCTCAAACAACGGAGATATTCATAGGTTTTTGATGTAATTGGTTTGATGCAATTTACGAGGAAGTGAAACAGCTCTGCTTTGCACTTTATCTTTAAATTAAAGACTGTACATTTCATTCCCAAATTCGTGCTACCACCTCTGCGGCACGCAAGTTCTTCGAAAGCATAAGTAAGAATAAAGATAAGTAGGTGTCTTAGCCTCTGCGTCATTCCGAAAATTCCGTTTTTATTCTTCGTTTCTTAACCTTCTCAAGAAGGAATAAAATTTTACAAGGATTTGATTATTTATGAAAGGGAAGGTTATAGGCTGTCTAGTACTGTTCCGAACAGCTCCAAATCTGCAAAAACACGTCGGGTTTCATCCTAAGAATTTCTGTGTTTCATGGCCGCGTCAGGCCACAATTTAGTAGAAGAAACTGCAAAACATTTCTCGTGATGAAGACAACAGTTTATAAGCCACTGCAAAAAACTGAAATTCACAATTCTTATAAGCATCAAAATCTATTTTTAAACTAAAATTATAAAAATTATTACATTGCGAAAAGATCGTTATTGCAAAATGAGAACTGGAAATGCCCAAGAAAGCTGCAGAGGATAAGGTTTTGCTTTTTTCTGATGCGGAGGATAAGGTTTTGTTTATTCCTGATGCTGGTTGCCTGTTTGTGCACCTTGATATACAAAATGAAAACGATGGCGGAATTTGAATAAAGATAAAGTGACACTCTGCAAGCTAAAAAAATCGTTTTTTTACTCTCTGGTTTTGGTTTCTCAGACTTATTCGCTGGAACGAGGAAGCGTCCCAGGAGTTCTAGCGCTGCATCGAATTTGTCCGAGATCTTTTCGTAGCTACTTTGCGAATCTTCCTCTTAACTTGGTTGCAAGAAAAAAAAATTTCAGAGTGACATATTGTATTCGACGCCGCCACTAATATTAAGGCTAATGATAAGGTTCTAGCCATCCTTCTCATTAAGTTTTTTTTTTTGAAATTGACCTGAGCCACTGTACAGGGTGCCCAAGAAAATTGTACACTGTTTGATCGCTATAACTCTATTGCTTTCACGCCTTTCGCCGAGCTTAAGGTGCCATTCTGTAGGGTGAGGTTCAACTTATATTTACAGTATGGAGGCAATCATCAATTAATCCTCACTGTAGGATTAAAGGCAGCGTCCAGGCAAGTCTGGACCTATGGAGATTTTACGTGGAAAGTACTTTTGGGGCCCTAACCAAGCTACTGCCCAGCCGGCAGCTCAGGTAGTGCCCTAGCGCCTGAGATATTCCCCTCGAAACTGGACCCCGCGACCGTGTTTCGCATGGAGTCATGGCGCAAAGCGTGGATCCTGGCGCGAAACTGCCATGAATTCATGCGAATATGTTCGCGGGGCCAGTTTCGAGGGGAATATCTCAGCCATTAGAGCACTACCTGAGCTGCCGCTTGGGCAGTGCCTTAGTTAGGGCCCCAAAAGTACTTTCCACGTAAAAGCCCATAGGTCCAGATCTGCCTGGACGCTGCCTTTAAGGCAGGAACTTTGGAAGGAAAATTAGAAGCGATTGTTGTCTCAAAAGGAAATCCAAATAACCAAAAACTCTTGTACTGGTTTAGAAGTCGCTGGTATTAAATATGGCATTTGCATTCCACTGTAATCTTCTAAAAGTTATTTCAAGTTTACGGTAAAATCTGCTTTTCCCATGTTCGTCAGAAATGTGATTACACCATTGAAAAAGCTCGAAAAACTGGTAAAAAGTTGTGTAGTGAAATCAGCACGCCTGAAGATCTTGCTGCACAAATTTTTGAATTTGAATTTTTTCATCGAAAGGCCCAAGTGGCGCTGTATGCTGGAAGCCCATACCGTAATCTTAAAGTAATGAGGAGTGATTGATGATTCGCTCCCTACTATAAATGGTTCAACCTCACTTACAGAATGGTGCCTCAAGCTTCTCGAAAGACTTCATGACAAGAGAGTTAATAACGATCAAATAGTGTTCACATTTTTTGGGACACTCTTTATTTGGACCCAGTTTGGAGGACCGCGCCCTGCAAAGAAAAACAGGGTTAAGCAGGCTAAGTTCAATGCATTTGATGTGTTGAGAAGATTATGTGATTTGGCTATCAGTTAAACCTACTTCACTTCACTGATAAAGTGTGATTCCTCCAAAAACACTTGGCTACCTTTAGCTGCTCCACTGTGTCTGCTCCACTGTGGCTGTGCACAGCATTTTGGAGATATAATAGGGGGAAAGATGGCAGTGTCCAGCCTGCAGATTCGCGTCTTGGGAGATATTGCTGTGGTGGGGTTCCTGGTCATCCCACTGACCTCCATGCGCACTCCGCCTGGTTGATGTTCCCCATGGGCCGAGAAAATAGCCCTTGAATCGAACGGTAAGCGAAGTCTTCCGGCGCGCGTCAGACGACTTCGCTTACCGTTCGGCGCGGGACCCATGACCGCTCTCTCGCGTTTCGCATGCTATCCAAAGCAAAACAGGCAGCAGGGTCTTCGTGCCAGGAACTCCCAACCAGGGTTAAGCAAAAGGTCAGGCACAAGTCCTTCAAAAACGACCCCCCCCCCCCGTGAAAGCCCCTAAACGACCCTCCGCTTCACCTCCAAGTCCTTAGGGTGTTATATTTTGAAGAAGACCAGCCTTCACTGCAGATTTCTATTTTTTGAAAGTCTGTAGGCCCGACTTCTGCGGTTGCACACACACGCAACTTGACGGCAAGTTTTAGATCTGGGTAGTCCTCTTTTCAGAGCTATAATTTTCACAGGGGTGAAGTGTTTGGCTTCAAATTTTCAATGTAGCAAGAAGAGGCTTTGCGCTCAATACCCATATCAAAAAAGGGACAATTTTTGAATGTTGAAGGCAAGTTAAGAGGGTCAGGCGCAACCCCTCAAAATCTCAGGCGGCCTGACCTTTTTAGGTTGCGCCTGACCCCATTAACTTTATTTCTGAAAAAGCTTTTCTACTCATGTTTTATGTAATTTGCTAGCTCAATCCTCGAAGATTCCACAGTAAGTGTTTGAGCTTGATTCGACTTGTTTCGGCCTTGTGCTAATCCGAGAAGTTGAAGCACTCAACGTGAAAAACGCGCCGATTGGAAATTTGGCAGCACTTTTTACTTAACTGTTTGAAAGCTATATGAAGTCCGATTTGTAGCATAGACTTGTAGAAAACATTACTTTATTATGAGTATACAAAAGCTGACTTTTCTCACTTCTGAAACCAAGTTGATCACGTTTAAAAATCACGCTTTTTAGGCGTTGAGAAACACTAGAAACTGCAGTAGGTAATGGTTTGTAGAGCGTATAGAGGTAATTTGACATGCCGATTGTGGAAATGATACCCATTTCACACAGCAAGCTTCCTTGTTTACCTCATATGTCAAGGTAAAAGAGAAGAAGATTTGAATTTTGGCTGAAACTTCTACTGTGGAAATAATCAGTATGCTGTTTATGACCGTCATCCCTTCATGTTATCGCGACATCCACCGGACTAGCGCATTTCTTCTTCACCTTCATAGTATCTCCCCAACTTAATAAATTCGGACCTTAATTACGACCCCCCTCCCTCAGTCTTACCTTCAATACGATCCCCCAGGTCTGGCGCGCCTGACCCCACGCTCAATCC